CATTTTGGGGATGAGGAGGGGGGAGAGTATTTGAGTAAATATTATAACATCTGAATTTTTTCCCCAGTAATTTTAAACAGCTGTCAAGTGAAGCTGAATACATGAAACTTAATGCAACAACACTGAAAAATCTGGAAATTTTACAGAATCAGGTAAGAAAAATATAATTGATGTTAAAGGTTGAGATGTTTGCAGATGACACCAAGCTGAGGGGAATAGTAGATATGCTGGCGAGTAGGGCTAGGATTCAGAGTGACCTAGACAAATTGGAGAATTGGGCCAAAAAAGAAGCCCATGAGGTTCAACAAGGACAAGTGCAAAGTCCCATGCACCAGTACAGGCTGGGGGATGACTGACTAGGCAGCAGCTCTGCAAAAAAGAACCCAGGGGTTGCACTGGACAATAAACTGTATATGAGCAAACAGTGTGCCCTGGTTGCCAAGAAGGCTAACGGCATTCTGGGCTGCATTGGTAGGTGTGTTGCCAGTAGGTCAAGGGAAGTGATCCCCTCTATTCAGGCCACATCTGGAGTACTGTGTTCAGTTTTGGGTCCCCCACTACACAAAGGATGTGGGCAAATTGGAGAGAGTCCCGCAGAGGGCAACAAAAATGGTGAGGGGGCTGGAGGACATGACTTATGAGAAAAGACTGGGTGAACTGGGCTTATTTAGTCTAGAGAAGAAGAGACTGAGAGGGGATTTAATAGTAGCCTTCAACTACTTGATGGGAGGTTTGAAAGAGGATGAAGCTAGACTATTCTCAGTGGTGGCAGATGACAGAACAAGGAGCAATGGTCTCAAGATGCAGCAAGAGAATCTTAGGTTCGATATTAGGAAGAATTTTCTCACTAGGAGGGTAGTAAAACACTGGAACAGGTTACCCAGAGGTGGTAGGGACCCCCCCCTCCCCCCCGTCCTTGGGGGTTTTCAAGACCTGGATGGGATGGTCTAGTTGAGGATGGTCCTGCTTTGAGCAGGAGCTTGGACTAGATGACTGCCTGAGGTCCCTTCCAACCCTAACTTTCTATGATTCTATGTTCAAAAATATCTGTAGGGTTTAGATACAAGTCCTGTAAATACAAGTACCTTTTGTACTGCTGACTCATGCACATTCACTTCATTTAATGTGCTCATTTAATGAGTTTATCCCAAACATTTTGAAAGGCTAACATGTGAAAAAGTTTGTTTTAATAAGGTAAAAAAAGGAAAAAATACATATCTTATGGACACCTGCCTCTGCAGACTTTCATGTATGCTTCATGCAGAGAAAGCAGGGGAGGGTGGAACCTTAAAGAAAAATTAATTCAGAGGCATAATGCTCAGATGCTATGAACTTAGGCCATTGTTTATGAAAGCTCATGCTTCCCTGAATGAATTGTTCTCCAAAGTGTCACCCTTCTATACCTTCTGTCTGATTTTAGACTAACATGGCTAACTTCTTTTTTCCATGTGTGTTGCATGTAAAGTGTTATATACAAATGGGTAAAACAGAAGAGTAGGCTTAATTCCAATATTAACGTTAAACTCAATGGTTTAGAATAATACTAGTTTTTTTAGATGTTTATATAGTTATTCAGTTAATAGAACCAGTCTTCTTATTTTTACCTTAGACTGACCTGAAAACAAAAGGCAGTTTATTTTGGGTCTTGGATCATACCAAAACTTGCTTTGGACGTCGGAAATTAAAGAAATGGGTGACACAACCTCTCATGAAATCCAGGTGAAATAACTCTTTACCTTAACATTAATTTGGGCTTTATGAATCATAATACTTGTTAAGCTGAGTTTATTATTTTTTCCTATGAGTTCTAAGCTCCATAGCAAGCTTAAGAAATAATGAAGTAGTAAAAGTAGGTGTGTGCCAATAGAGATTTTGGGGGCCGACACCGATGGCCAATTTTAAAGGAGGCATATTGGCTGATACCGATCTGATTTGCAATACAGCTGCATGCAGCTGATAAGTCTGTTGTGGTGAAAGAAGAGGGGGGAGGGAATGGGTGTGGAGGTGGGGGGCAGATCAATGCCCCTGCGGTGAGGGAGCAGTGGGGCTGGGGCTGGGGTAGGTGCTGCCCAGCCGGGGTGGGGCAGGCATGGGACAGAGCTATGGCTCATCTGGCAGGTGCAGGGAAGGGTCGGGGGGCAGCTCCCACTGCTGTGTGCTGGTGGTTGAGGAGTGGCTCGTCTGCTTGTCCAGCGGCTTCTGCTGCTGCTCATCCAGGAGGGCACGGGGGATGCGGGGAGGTGGGCCCGTGTCCCTGAATCTGTGCGGGGTGGACCCCCCCCCCCCCCCCCCCCATGCCCTCCTAGACGAGCAGCAGTAGCAGTGGCAGAAGCTGCTGGACAAGCAAACAAGCTGCCATACAAATTGCTTCCGGACCAGAAGCAGGCAGTGGTAGGAGTCACTGCCCCCCCTCCCTGTGCCCCCCAAACGAGGCGCGACTCTGTCCTGCGCCTGCCCTGCCCTGGCTGGGCAGCGCCTGCCCCAGCCCCACTGTTCCCTCACTGTGGGAGACATTGATCTGCCCCCTTCACCCCTCCCCTTTCCCTTTTCACCACTGTGGACTTACCAGCTGTACGCAGCTGTCCAAGCTGCCAGGCTGTGCTCCTTGCTGCCTTTGTGCTGTGCTGCGGCTGTGCATAGGCACAGGCATTTATCGGCCAAATTATGGGCCAAATCAGGCCGATTTTTCGATATAGTCAATTTTCTTTATATCGGCGCTGACCTGATATTGGACCGATGTATCAGTGCACCTCTAAGTAAAAGGTATACTAACGCTTCTTGAATTGAATGTTGGGAAACCCTACTAATAATTTTTTCTTATATTTTGATAATTGACCTTCATTTGTGTTTCTGTCTCAACCAGGTTCTCATTATAGCACTTTAACTATCAGCCCATGCCTACTTAATTTCCTTATTAGTTTTTTTGTAAGGGACTTTGTAGAGGGCTTTTTAAAAATGAAATTCATATCCTAGTTTTCATTTGTCTATTTTTTGCCATTGTATATTAAAAAAGATTGTGTATTTCTTTACAGAAGCCAAACTAGTAAGGCTGTATGTTGTTATTTTTTAAATGTATTTTCTAACTTGTTTTAGTTTATCCCATTTTTCTATTAGCAAAGTAACACTAACTAGTTTCTGTTTCCCAAGATCACCTGGAATGTCCTTTTCTAAATAGGTGAAACTTTAAGTAAGTGAACCTATAGTTCAATCACAGTATCCTATTTCTGTCAGATTTACTGTGTTTTTTTTCCTTTTATTAAAAAAAAAGAATAGAATTTCTTGGCCTCTTTATTAGCAGTAGTATTGTTTCTGTTCTATATTTGCATTTCTTTGTAGCCATATGAGGACTTCCGGGAATTTATTGATAATGTTATCAGTAGAGGGTGCTGGAGCACAGGCTTACCACAGCAAGATCCTAAGGATTGCAAAGTGGGAAGGGAAAGAATCACTCCTCCTTTACAAAATGATTTAATAGTGGGAAGACCAGTGGGAGAAACACAATCCACTACCAACCTATAAGTGCTGAGAACATAAAAAGCAGGGGAATTCTACTGTTAGGAACTTAGAGCTGCTTCAGGTGGTGATGTTGGTTTTCATACATCTAGGCTCCTGCCAGAACCTTCTGTAGTCCTGGTCTCCACTCCTCTTCACTTGTATTTCGGCCACTAGAAAGAAATTGGCAGAGGGTTTTCACCTCTGAGTAGAAATAAGACTTGTATCTGGACCAGTTAAAGCACAGTTCTCTTTCGAAGTGGAGTGACTCAGTATGTCTGTGTTATTTTGGTATATTTCTCCATTCTTGACATTTTCATAATTTTGTGTACTTAAAGTGCATTAGACACTGTACATTATTATTTAAAGTAACGTACAAAGCTGATTGCAGGAAAGACATTATAATCTTTGTCTCTTCTCTTGAAATGCAGTTTTCTGTGCAAATATTTTTTTTCCCTTCCTTAATCGGTTGGGTGCAATCAGTAATTATGTTGTATTATATATTGAAAAGTGTGAATGTGTATTTCCTGTAGCTGTGGTTCAGACTTAGTTGGAACGATCAAAAAATTTGTAGCTTCAAAACATGCTACTAAATGAATCTCATTTCACTAAGACAATAATTCTCAATGAATGTGCTGCAGTACCCTGTGGTGTCTTGAGGTCCTTTCAAGGATGCCACAGGATGCCATGCAGTGTTGGCACTGCTAGGTATACAAACATGATTTTTAAGGTAAGCCCAAAGATTTCAAATGAGAATCCAGCACGTTAAAAACAAATCTGACCTGTTGTAGTCTTTCTGAGCTCATTGCAACAGAAAAAGTGTTCTATTATTTTTCCATAATGAAAAAATGAGTGAAAACTTAGAGCTGTCATTTTCTGAGGGGTGCCTTGATTCTAAAAAAATTGAGAACCACTGTACTAAAAGTTGGAATGTGTCTGGGTAGGGTTTATTGAGACAAACTTAACCTGTTAATTAGATCAACAGTGATATGGGGTCCGAAAACTAAGCATTCTGAAGGCGTTTCAAAGGTGTTCTTAATGTCCGTATTTTCTCAGTACTAAGGGAAGAAATTTAGCTGTTCACAAATACTTTAAAAAAAAGAGTGCACCAAGAGAGTAATGAATTTTGTTAGTCAAGGGGGACTAAAATGACAGTAATAATTTCTTATAAATCTAACCATGGAAATTTTGTTTTGGTAACTCCTGCAAAAAACCCATACTTAAGTATACTATACAGAGCAATCTGTCCCCCTAAGAAAGGAGAGTTGGCCCCCTTAAGGAAGTCCAGTTATGGAGCCATCACCTAGTTGAGAACTTCCTAGACACTGAATTGGACTGTAGAAAAATACCCTGCTGGAACAGAAGGCCTGACTCAGCAAAGTCTGAACCCCAAACAGGAAGGACCTTGTATGGCTGCAAGGCTTTTGGGTAGAGTTCCTACACCGGATACTGGAATTTGATCTCCATGGAGAGAAAGTGGGCACAGCAACACAGGACTTTTTTAGCAGCGCTTTATCTCACATTTTTATCAATAACTGCCCCACTAACAGACAAACTGCACAATATAACACCCCATTCTGTGCAGTGATCTCTAGCGTGTGTGGGCATTTAGAGAAATTAAATAGATGCTATGTACTGCCTCAGTGCTACACAGTCCGGAGTTGGATGACAGGTTCATTTTTACAGATGGGTGCCTCAGCAAGGCCTTCGGGAGTTTTCTTTCAGAACTTTAAGGATGGAGAACACCCAATCCTATACTTAAACCAGAATTTTCTTCCCAGAGAGCAAAACTATTTTGTGGCTGAGCAGTTCCTTGTAATAAAGTGGACAACTGAAGACTTCTGGTATTGGATCTTCAGAGCCCTCTTTACCCTTGACCAATGATGCCCCTTTGATGTGGTTGAAAGCAGTGTGAGAATCCAACCCCAGACTGACACAATGGTATCTGGTATTGCAACCTTACTCCTTTGAAATATGGCATTGACCAGGATCTGCACACATGAATGCAGAATTTTTTCACAAGGAGGCACGGTTTCATAGTTAACACAGTTAAAGCTATTAACATCTTTTAAAATCAGGGCTAAGTTATCAAACAGGCACCTGAAATAGCATTGGAGGAACCAGGCACAAGGTATAGGTTCAGTGCCCCAACCACTGTCTGTTATTTTCTGAATCATGATTAACTGTAGTTTTTAATAAGCTTGTACACTTCCTAAAGAAAGCTGGCATAACTAGGTGGATGGAATTTGTAAATGATCGGATATTGGACTTCCATAAATGTGCCATTAGAATGGGTTGCACCATCACAGTTGTCATAAAGTGTTGTGTAGACACTAGAACTATCCTGAATCCTGTGGGTAGTAGTAATCAAGCTGATAGGAGATGCAGCCTGTGTACTGATATTGCCAAGGCCCAGAATTTGAAGGACTGTAAAATCAAAACTTTATACAGGTAAGTGCCTTTTATTTGAAAGGCTGTACCAGGGGTCTTGAACTCACCAGGGTGCCAGGCTGGATCCACACTGCTGGTCGTCTGGTGGGTTGGATCTAGCCTGAGACATGAGGACTGCTGCAGCGGTTATTGTGGCAGTGGTGAGGGGTCTGGGAGTGATGGTGGGAGCAAGGGGTCTGATGTCTGTGAGGGGTCCAGAGAAATGATTCTAAGTATAGTGGTAGCAAGCCACGCTCACCACTGATGGCCAAGGCCAGCAGGGCCAAAGGCCCCTAGTTCTGTTCTAGGCCAAGCCTGGTGCCTGTTGGTAGCTTGGCAGACTGTATAGAGAAGCTTTGTGGGCTGGATCTTGCCTGTGGGCTTGTTCTGGCCCACAGGCTGTCTGACACCCCTAGGATATAATAAGGAAATAAATAAATAAAATCCTAGAAAGAAAATCTCACCATGTTCAAAGATCCCCCAATTCCAAAATGGTTTAATCAAAATCCACTTCTGTCTGCTCTTCCACATTATAATTTGTCCCAAGATGTTGACTTTGAGAAGTATTGGGTAAGTTAGGAGGTAAGTGTAACTTGGTAGTCTAATTTGATGATAGAATGGAAAGTCTTCCATGGTTAACTTCATCGCTGCTTCTGTGTCTCTTTGCTGAGATCAGCTGGCAACATAACAGGTTACCTGAGAGACACTGAGGACACACCTTAATTCAGAAGCAATCTGCATACCCCTGAAATTATCACTGTTCAAAGCTAGATGACATCCTCATTTTATAAGGGTGA